CCGTAAATATATCAAAACTTAATTTTTGATGAGTAATATGCATTGCTAAGAACTTCATTTGGACAACTTTAAAGGCGATTTTCTCAATATTTTGATTTTTTTGCACCCTCAGATTCTAGATTTTCAAATAGTTGTATCTCAGCCAAATGTTGTCCTATTCTAACACACCATACATCAATGGAAAGCTCATTTATTCAGATGATGTATAAATCTCAATTTCAAAAAATTGACCCTTATGACTGGTTTTGTGGTCCAGGGTCACATTTTTCATCATTTTGCTCTCCCAGAGTACTTTTACCAAGATAACGTCATAGTGTGCAACAACACGTTGCACTTTTTTCTTTGAGAAGCTGTGTTTTACGCCAACAATGAATTATATAATTTAGTTTGTGCACATCATTAGTGCCAGCATTTCACACACACCACTTCACGAGCCCTAATTAGATAAATGAACACTGTCAGTGTGTGTGATACTGGCTCTGTTCAGAAGATCTATGTTGCAGTATTCAGCCAGTCATCACATGCAGCTTCTTCGCCCCCCAAAAAAACACAATGCAGCCTTTAGAAATAACTTGAGGTTTATTAGCTATGGAGTCTTAGGAGAGTCACACACACACAGGGTTAGGAACAGGGTGAGGTGGTACCAAAAGAAAGAAGAAAAATAAAAGAAAAAAAGGGAGAGAAGGCAGTAATGAAAAATCAAACTCCTAACTACCATTAGATTGAATTGAACTAAAACTACAAATTGTATTTTGTCAAGTACGGCTTAAAAAAAAAAAAGAGAAACCTTTATACATTTGTCTTTTATACAAGTAGCAACATTGGAGAATCACCTTGGAAAAAGGCAATTTACAAAAAAACAAAAATACACTTTGTTTCAAAGAGAAAAGAAAAATAGAGTGGTGGTCAAATATTGACCAATAATTATTCCTTTTCATTCTATCTTAAAAACTTGGTCTAATATCTATAAAAATGTAAAAAAACAAAGCAATATACAAGTGTAAAAAGTTTGTAGTTTTTTCCATTCACTCCACTGATTTGGTGACCAGAGAGAGAGGTTGTGTCTGCAGCAAGGCATGATGGGAATGTAGGGCTGCGTGGTGGAAAGGTGAGGACGGGGAGAGCAGGGAGGGAGGCAGGGTGCTGAACGGGATGGGGCGGGTCAGGAGGGCCGCCGACTGGCTGTGGAGGGAGATGCCCGGATGGGAGGCGGTGGAGGTGGACGAGGACGAGGAAGTGGAGCTGGAGCCCGAGGCTTTCCCTGGCAGGGGGAAGTGGGGGTGGTGGGCTACACACACACACACATATATATGTGTGTGTGTGTGTGTGTGTGTGTGTGATTTAAGATAAAAAAATTGAATGCAAATTAGAAATGTTGCTTTGACAAATAACTGAAAATAAGTTTATGCTGAAGTACTAAAATGACCAAAACTACAACAAAAATATAAAAATAAAAAACACATAAATAAATATAACTACAGCTTAATAATATAAATATTTAAAATACTAAAACTAATCTAATATTAAAGTAAAATCTGACAAAAATAAATAAATAAAAAGCTCATTCAAAATATCAATGCTATAAGAGTATATAAATAATATTACATTAACAGTGGTTTAAAATAATATATAAAATGTTTAAATATTTAATTGAATAATTATTCTTGCAATTTTTAAACAGAAAATAACATTTTCTAAAAAAAACAAAACAAATCAAATCGACTAAATTGAGACATTTCAGTCAAAAACCGACCAACATGAAAAATAGTGACTAAATTTAAAGGTTATTTTCATAAAAAATACAAAATCTATGATTAAAAATCTACTGAAAATTACTCCCATTTGCTCCCAAATTACTTCAAACACACACACACACACAAAAGTAAAAAAGAAAGTCAGATTTGGAAAAACATGAGAGTGAGTAAATTAACTATTCCTTGAAAAAAAGTTCCAGTTAAGAATAATAATAATAATAATAAAGCTAAAATCTCCGTCATCTAACTTCTAATGTCAAAATTGAACTGAACACGATCTGTGAGCTGAATGATCGGACCAACAGGGATGCTGGGGGGAAAAAAACCTCAAGTTCAGCAAAAGATCATGCATACAGAAATTGAGAAAGAAATACGGATGTCCAGTGACACTTACACTCTTGTGGGGAATCAGGTTTATTCTCTCTCTTTCGTTTCTTCTTCTTTCCCTGCGGACAGACATGATTTGGAGCAAATTAGATGTGTTTGATTAAACAAAACTCCCCTGGCTGCCAAAAACAATGGAGGACTCTGAATCCCACATGACTTGCGTTAAACTCTGCATTCTGGGCTCACTTACGTAGTTGTCTCGCGCAGACCAGCCCGGATAAAGCTGAGAGTGCAGCTGCCGTTCTTTCCTGGCAAGTTCGTAGTATTTGGCCTGTTCCTCACGTGAAAGAGAGTGCCACTGTGGAATAAAAGAGCATATGGTCAAATTTCCCTCCTTTTTTCATTCCTTAAAAGGGATCGTTCACCCAAAAATGCACTTTTTGATGATTTACTCACCCACATGTCATTCAAAACCCAAATGAGTTTATTTCTTATGCACAAAAGGAAAAATTTCAGAAGCGTGCAAGTCATATGGACCACTTTTATTGTGCTTTTTGATAGCTCCGGCGCTTATTCGTTGTAATTGCATGGAATAGAGCGACCAGCACTATCTTCAGAACATCTTCTTTTGTGCTTCATACGGGTTTGGAATGACATGAGGGTGAGTAAATGATGGCAATTTTCATTCTTAGGTGAACTGTTCCTTTAAGACAAGATGAAGAGAAACACACTAATGCATCTCAGCTCCTCTCGTAATGGAGTTGCAAGCACTCACCCTCCTGCCTAGGATCTGGTTGATGGCTGCGCTCTCTTTCAGGGTGCATTCGGCCACTACTTTGGCCCTCATTTCCTTCATGTAGAGCATAAAGGCATTTAGGGGCTTCTTGATGTGAGGTTTCTTCTCTTCCTCTTTCTTCACAGGTACCGAGGGCTTTCTGTATGGACACAGATGGATGCAAAGACGACGTCAGTTGGAGAAGAGCAGAGAAATGACAGTGAGAGAGTAATGGAGGACAGAGACTCACCCGTGTGTCGAGTTGCTGCCATGGTCGGCACTGGGCTCCTGTTTGATGGCAGGCGACACAATGGCGGGATGAGGGATGCCCGTCTGGTGCAGGCCATGAGGAGGATGAGGCACCATGTGAGGAGAGAAACGACTGGATACCAGACTAGAGAGAGAGAGACAGACAGATTCACACTCAATAATAGACATATATAGAATAAATAAACAGATACATCAGGTATTGAAGGTATAGATATGGATAGAATGGTAGATAATTAGATCGGCAGACAGATAAACTGATAGGAAAAATGACAGATAGAAAGACAGATGGAGAATGAGAAAATGACAGATAGAATGATATGTAGAACGATAGAGGGAGAGCGAAAGAGAGAACAATAGTATGATAGAATAATAGGTAGAATGATAAAGAGAATGATCAAATAAAAAGCACATAGATAGATAGATAGATAGATAAAAATATATGCATACATTAGACAGACAGATAGACAGACAGACAGACAGACAGACAGACAGACAGACAGACAGACAGACAGACAGACAGACAGACAGACAGATAAAATATATGCAAATGATAGATAGATAGATAGATAGATAGATAAAAATATATGCATACATTAGACAGACAGACAGACAGACAGATAGATAAAATATATGCAAATGATAGATAGATAGATAGATAGATAGATAAAAATATATGCATACATTAGACAGACAGA